TCAAATTTTGCTGAACGTCACCTTTTAAAACTTGCTTAAAACTTGCTATTTTCGCTCAAACTTCAATTATTATAATTATGTATAACGTTTTGAACTTTTATCCAATTGCATCGCTGCTGCCTTATTGATAATGATATTCCTTTATTCATTCTCCAGTTCAGCAAAGAATTTCCATTAGGGCAGCTGTACATCAGTGTGTTTTATGGGATGATGATTAATCAGTCTACACTCGACTGTCACGTGACTTTTTAAACCCATTCTCTTTTAACGGCCAGGTAGCGCAGTTGGTTAGAACGCCAGCTTTGCAATCGTGAGGTTGCGAGTTCGAATCCCACTGTCTGCCTGGTCATGGGGTGAGCGTCGTTGACGTTCAGCTAAGGATCCTGAGTGGTCTATGCAGCCCCTCGGTCTACTCAGCCGAATACTCGAGAGATCTTGGACGGACCTTAAATAAACGGACTTCATTTGAACGGACATTAAGATGAACGTTAGGGCCTCCATCGTTCAATTAATGTCCGTCCAAATAAGGTCCGAAAAGGTAATACTAATAGATTGAAGCTGCGACGGAATGACAGGCTTAGCGCGGCCCAGTAAGCTTCATGTTTGTTGATTCGTATTAGTCGGTGACTTGGTTCGTAGTTCCCAAACATTGCGACCACAGTGTTTTGTGTTTCGCTCGTTTTGTATTTCGCTCGTTCTAGTATTCATAAATATACCACAAAGTTTCCTCTTTTGACAGTAGCACTATAGCATAAGTTAAACTCGTCTTCAAAACGTAATCAAGAACTAAAAGTCGCAAAGTCTGTGAAAACAATTCTTCATGATTTGTATTCATATAAATAATAATATTATTATTAGCTAAAGAATATTTTGAGTGTAAAAAAAGATGACATTGATTTCGTAATCAGCGATCGAACCAAACCCCCCCCCCCCCCCCCCCCCCCCGTAATCAACCGTAAGCATTTGGAGACCCCCTCCCCCTCGGCTGATTACGTAATATGTGAACGACCCCTTTAAACCTATCAACGGAATTGTCTACAATGGTCCACAGGAAAATGTAATCAAATGATAGCCTTAGTGAAAAGCATGCTCTCCCTATCCACATTCATAAAAGAGCACAAGAAATCCAAGCTCCTAACACAGCTATAGATGAGTTCATAAAATCGGAAAGACTGAAATCTAACGGACAACAGATTCTAATATCAGACCACAGCACCCAAGAAGATATCTGTTCAACTTGCCTCCTAGGTGTTCTTTCTGAACAAGATGGGCTCCTTTGTGAACAATGCAACTTTTGGTACCATCCCATTTGTGAGGAAATCAACACCAAAGAATACAAACACCTCCAAGATGAAAAGTTCGACATTGCGTTCGTCTGTGGTAACTGTGAAAGACAACGCCTTACTACATCTACTTTACCTCCCCCGGATCCAGTCAACGCATCGATCAAAAATGCGAAATGGGGAGTCCTACAAGGTTTACAGATTAGGCCAGCTGTAGACTCTATCTACAAGAGGGTAGTCCTCTGGAAGAAGAACATGTTTAAGGTACCGAAAGGCAAGATAGGAGAGAGTTTTATCGAGGAAGTCACCAACACCATCAATTTCTTTAACAGCGGCTCCAGCCTTGAGAGTGTTGCAATTTCTATGACGCTTATAATGTTTCCCCTCCTGCTACAGAAACCCTCCAAATCCTCTAAAGCCAAAGACCATGTAGCACACCTTGAAAGAAGACTCCAGCTATGGAAAGATGGCGAAATCGAGAAGCTCGCTAGGGAATGTAAATCAATACAAGATCGCCTTCTCAAATCCAAATACAGCCCAGGACATCACAACCAAGTTTTTACACGACTCATGTTACAAGGAAAAGTCTCTGCAGCCTTAAGATGGAATGGGAGCCAGAGAAGTAAACTCCTGGACACAAGCCCTACTGTCATACAAGAACTCATAAAGAAACACCCCGAAAGCAGCCCATCACTCGAATCTAGTCTGATGAAGGGCCCCATCGAAGAGGTAGATGCTGTCATATTTGATTCCATTGATTCCAGCAGGATTGAAAAGGTTGCAAGAGACCTTAGTGGGTCTGGTGGGCCCTCAGGAACAGATGCAGAGACATGGCAGCATATTCTCTGCTCTAAGCAGTTTAAGAAAAAGCCTGAATATCTAAAAGAAGCAGTCGCAGTTTTGGCCAGAAAGCTGTGTTGCCAAAAGATACAGCCCGACCACCTGAAAACATACATAGCAGGTCGCCTCATCCCCCTTGACAAAGACCCAGGGGTTAGACCCATTGGGATTGGTGAAGTCCTTAGAAGAATAGTCGGCAAAGCTGTGATGATCACATTGAAACAGGACATTATCATGAACACAGCACCCATGCAACTGTGTGGTGGCCTGCAAGGAGGAGTAGAAGCGGCCATTCATGCAGTCAGAAAGATCTTTGAAGACGAATCCACAGAAGCAATCCTGCTTGTTGATGCTGAAAACGCTTTCAATGCATTAAACCGCAACACAGCCCTTAGGAACCTTCGATACACCTGTCCAGAGCTGTTCACTTACATCCTCAATTCTTACAGACAAGAAGCTGACCTATTCGTTGCCAACAGTGATAATCTCATTCTGTCTCAGGAAGGAACAACACAGGGAGATACCAGTGCACTTGGATGGTATGCACTGAGCCTAATGCCTCTGCTCAGAGAAGTCCAGGTTAAACAGACGGAATCTGATACAGAATTAGAACTGGACAGGGAACCTAACTCTTATCCCAAACAAGTTTGGTATGCAGACGACTCTGCAGCAGGGGGTAAACTTGATCAACTCCTGAAATGGTGGAAGGACCTAAAAGATCATGGTCCCAAGTATGGGTATTACCCTAAGCCCAGCAAGACATGGTTGATAGTGAAACCAGAGCATGCTACCAAAGCTAAGGAACTCTTTCCAGATGTTCAGATTACAACCAAAGGCCATCGTTATCTTGGGTCATATATTGGATCAGAAGAAGGGGTAGAAGAGTTTGTATTAAAAGAGACAGAAAGTTGGAAAGCAGACATTCTAGGGCTTGTCGATATAGCTGCTAACGAACCCCAGCTAGCCTACTCCGCTTTTATCTATGGAACCTCCAAAAGATGGAACTTTGTCTGCCGTACCACCCCAGGGATTTCTGACCACTTGAAACTCTTGGAATATTGTGTCAAGGAAGACTTTATACCGGCCATTATGGGCAAAAGTTTTGTGCCTGATCAGATCAGGAAAATAGCTTCACTTCCCGCAAGAATGGGCGGGCTGAGCATTCCAGACTGTACATCAACAGCAGAGATGGAGTACTCTAACTCAGTAAATGCCACGAAACAGCTCACAGAAGCAGTTTTTCAACAACACATTACTTTCCAACCAAACGAGGAACTGCAACATGACATCATTAGTGACATAAAGAAGCGTAAGGAAGAGCTTTACAAACAGCAACGTGAAACTATTATGAGTGAGGTATCCCCATCCACACAAAGGCAAATAGAACTCCTCAGCGAAAAAGGAGCATCCATTTGGTTATCCACACTCCCTCTAAAAGCATGTGGGTATGTCCTCAACAAACAAGAGTTCTTTGATGCCCTCTCACTCAGATATAATCTTACACTGTCTACAGCTAACAGAAGTCCCCTATGTGTATGTGGAAAACAAAACCATATCAACCATACTCTAACCTGCAAAATCGGAGGCTACGTTTCACTTAGACACAATTCACTCAGAGATACAATAGCTGAACTCCTAACCACTGTTTGCAAAGACGTTGAAACAGAACCTCAGCTTCTCTCCGTTCCTCCCACACTTAAACTATCAAATGGAACAAATAGACAAGATGGTGCAAGACTGGACATCAGTGCGAGATCGTTCTGGTCGCCACTGGACAGGGCATTCACAGATGTAAGGGTACTTCACCCTCAAGCCCAGTCCAACAGTGACAAGAGCATCTCGCAGATGTACCAATCTCACGAGAATAACAAAAAACGTGAGTACAATGACAGAGTCCTCAATGTAGAAAAGGCTACCTTCACACCACTGGTGTTCAGTACTACAGGAGGAATGGCAGTTGAGGCTTCTCAGTTCCTAAAACATCTCGCTGAAAAGATCAGCCTTAAGAAAGGCCAACGGTATTGTGATGTGATGTCATTTGTCAGACGCAGACTGCGCTTTGATCTACTCAGAACCTGTATAATATCTATCAGGGGATACAGAGGTACCAGAACTCTTCCACCCACGGCAATACGTGATTTGGACCTTAACCTGATCAACACTCCTAAACCCTAAAAGGTCATGGAGTGCTTGTTAGATGGGGGTCTAAACTGCTTTTTGTTGTGATGTGAATTTGTTATATATTATTGCAAAGGGTTTTTATTTTTACCTCAGTTTTTAAAATTTGTACCATTTTTAAAGAATTTTTATATAGGGTCATTGCTATATTATGTGTATATTGTTTGAATATATACATTCTCTAAATGATAGCCAATCAGGCAGAAACACTCAGACGAATTGACTTATAACTTCTCCCTGTTAGATATGAAGATGTCATTACTACAGACTCTTCTCCTCATCAGCACTTTGTCCTATCTAAGAGTGGAGGGAGTGTGCAGAACGACACGACTCAATGAAATGGAACAGTTGGTTCTGGACAAGCACAACGAGTACCGAGCGCGTCACCACGGCACTCCTCCTCTCTGTTATGCCAGAGTAGCTGGCCAGGACATTACTTTTACTGCCCAGGAGTGGGTGGAACATATTGGGGATACCGGGGAGTTTGAACACACTCCAGATCCGAAGGCATTCGGAGAGAATATGTCCTGGGCTTCTTACAACGGTGAGGATCCTGAACCAGCACCCTTTTACAACGGTGGAATAGAACGCTGGTACAATGAGATTAAGAACTGGGATTTTGTGAATAGCAGGAGCAATGGTGTTACAAGTCATTTTACCCAGCTTGTTTGGAAGGATGCCACACAGCTGAATTGTGGGTTTGCAACGTCTGAGACTCTACATAGAGCTTATGTAGTTTGTCAATACTGGCCTAAAGGAAACTGGATGGATCAATACCAGGACCAGGTTCAACCGTTAAAAGGCTCTACAGATTCCAGTGAGTTGTGGTTACGGCTTATGAGATGTTATTGTTAATCTTGTAATTTTTTGGACGGTTTTATAAAAGTTTTTGCTATCCACAGCTTCATAAGACTTAACCTTGTCAATTTGTATACAACTCATCACCTATTAAACAGGTGATGATGGCGAAATTGAAGAAGAGGTCTTGGAAGAGGAGGTGAAAGAAGACGTAGAACTAGAAGAGGATGTAGAAGATGACGTCAGAGAGGACTCAGAGGAGATCTCGGATGATTCAGGATCTGATAGAATAAGTAAGTCTAAGATAACGGATTACTCTTCTTACTGCAAATTGAACCATCCGACTGTATTAGTGTATTGATGATTGTTCTGAATTTTGATTGAAAGTCAGCATAAGCAAAGTAAGATAGTCAGCATAAAGTAGTTACTAATATACTTCAACTTGAAACCCCATCTGTCCATAAGTATAACAAATAACGTTTAAACATCGTACAGACGAGAACGACTCAGAAGACCGGTCAGATTCAGAGAATATTATTTTTGAAGGTCCGGAGAACTTGGTCTTTGGTAAGTTAAATATCTTACTTTATTGATTAATTTAACTTCGTGTAAATTTGTGCTACTCTGTTTAATGACTATATTGGCCGTGGTAATTATCTTTAAATTGGACATTTTTTTTGGTTAAAAGTCGAATTAATAAAGATTTCTACAATTCACAGTATCTGTCAGACACTAACAGGGCTCATTCATGTAGGAACGGACAGCTCTGACGTAGGATCAAACATCTTCAAGACCTGTGACTGTTGGACCCCCGAGTGCAGATACTGTTCCGACATAAGCTGCACCGTAAAGCAAGATCTCCCTAACTCCGAGCAAGGAATCGCCGTCCGTTCTATCGTCAAAAGAAAGAAGTACAACTCTGTTGTTTTCTATGATGAAAATGGGAGCAGAATTGGAAAATTCCAATGGAGTAAAAGGGGTATTTTTCTTACAGGCTGCATTGCATGTGTAACACCGAGAGCTTTAAAAGGAAAGTGCATTAAAAATGTGCAAACCTTGTGGGCTGTTTCTATTTACAATGGGGTTCTTCAGATAAAGATCGATGGAGAGATTTTGTATGAAAATAGGTTAATGGGAGACTGTCTTGAAAAGTACAGCAAAACCAAACGATTTGCTTTTTACGGCATGCCCGAAGAAAGTTCGTACTCGTTTGTGGCTGATCAAATGGAGGCCGGAGAAAAGATTTTCAGTACAGGCTGTGCTTGAACAATGAACATGAAAAATCAAGACAACTTTTATTAATGTTTACATGATATTTACCTGGGACCGCTCACAGCAGACTTTTTCTGTTCATAAACTCATTCAATAAATTGAAACCGATTGGAGATGCGGCGGAATGACAGGCTGAGCGCCGCCCAGTAACCTTAATATATAATTATAAATATTGTTTGTAAATATATGATTAATGACCTTTGACCAATATACGCTTAGTAATTGTGTGTACATTTAAAGATTTATTTTTTGCATTTTAAAATTAAATATGCAACTATGATATTGATGTGTTGCCTGACGGAGGGGTCTAAAATGGCTGACATTTAATTTACAAAATATGTGAACGATCCATTGCATAGTTTGTGATCCTTCATGCGTCTCAATTGAAGTACCGAAATTGTATTCCTCATTGAAAAATCTGCCATATCAGCAGATACAAGATTAAATATATGCCGGACTTGAATGCCATGTCTAGGATGCGTACTAATTTGTAATTGGTAGAAAACTGACATCTTACTGAAAGTGTAAAACGCTGTATTGTGTATGTGTAAATTTACCGTTCCAATTCAATGGTTTATTTTAATGAACTTAGAAAAAACTAAGATATAACATAAACAAATCATATTTTAGTCATACAGAAATTAAAAAATAAAATAACACAAAATAAGATCAATAACATTGAATCTAACATATAATGATCAATAACAGAGGTCCTGTATGTGCTACGCGGAGGTCACTTTTAAAAATCACTTGGTCTATATAAATATTGATCCTTAAAATGTAAATATCAAATCAAACACAAATGAGTGCCATGCGGGAATCACAAGCAACAAGGGATCTCAATAAGTAAACAATAAGTAAACTACAATAAGTAAACTACAATAAGTAAACTACAATAAGTAAACTACGTTTCAAAGGTGACCCAAAGATCTCAATTTAATTGACAAATTAACTCAGTCAGAACTACAATCAGCTCACCACATCTGAAAATAGAGTAGTTAACTCCGTAAACTTTCAACCACAAACTAATGACGTATACATTTCAACAAAACTTAAAACTATCAACTCAAACTGTGGTAACTCAAAATGCGAATGCTTACATTGGGCTGAAGATTAAAGGCCAAGGAAATAGGAATACCTCATAGACTATAACACACGTGAATCTGGTCAAAAGCTAAATTATAAGTTTAGCTTTATATCATTAATGTTATAGTGGTTTTGTAAGTAAGTGGTTTTGAGCATAGTTGACAAAATTAAATGTTTTGAGTGAGTAATTCAAGGCAGGCACTAGTAGTCAAATTTACATATCAAGACCGAATAACTAATCAATCAGTTAATTAACAATATAAAGCAACAAGATCTGATTACGAAATGGTTTAGATAAATCAAGCAAGAATTCTATCAGAACACTTAAAATCGAATCAATTCCAAATGGAAAGAAGCCCAAAATTAGCAAAAAATCAAATTTACCCTCAGAACAATTTAAGCACTTAAGTCTTAAATTACCGTACCGATCAAACCGTTCGTAAACAAAATGTGTAATTAAATTCTCAAAGTTAACAAGCTAGTCGAACTTGAGAGACCATGAAATTAACCAGCATTTCCCTCAAATTCAGTGATTCAGAACCCAATTCTCAAGAAACAAGTTAGTTAATTTGACAAATAATTAATCGAACAACTAACCAATTGACCAATCAACTGATTAGTCAACTAAACATCCCAGGACTAATAATCTACCTCGGAAAGTTCACAGAACCATATCATCCTCGTTAATCTCCGGAATGTGGGGTCTCCAGAAGTTTTGAGCCAAGAACTCCTCGTTCATCAGCTCAACTTCAGGACGGACAATGGGGAAGTAGACCTCGTTGTGATCGTAAATCTCGGCGTACGTACAGTGCTGGACGATAGAGTTCTCTGTGTATATCTCACCCTGAATATTTTTATTTCTTGATTAATTAATTAAAAAATTAACTTATTAGGTTGTCTTTAGAAACAGGAATATCAGGATTTGAAGTAGTTATATAGTATAGAGAGGAATCACATTAAAATTAAACCATTTTCCCGAGCTGTCAAACAATACAGGCGTTGATTTGCAACAAAATCTTTACAATAGGATCTACAGAGAATATTCTTTAGAATATAAATATACTGACCCTGTGGTTGATCCGGTATGTCCGATGAGGGGGTATCCCAACAGCCTGATAACTCTTGCTATCAGTTCCCTTGTTTCCAAAACCTGCGTAAAAAGGCGACCCGTCCTCCCCGAATAGCCCTTTAATGTCACTCAAGCACTTTATCTTGAAGATGTCGGTCTTCTGAGGACTAGCTCGACTTTGAACGCGCGGAGTAGGGAGTCAGGTGAGAGGAGCATTGGTCCCTCTGGGATACCTGAATAATGGAGTGTTAAGAATAAACAAGGTACAGTGACGGAACTTTATTATATGTACACATTTCTTATACTTATATACGCTGTAGATGTAGATAGCTGCCCACTGACGCTGTGGTGGAACATCGTTAATACAGCAAGGCTCGGATAGGCGTAGTTATAAAGAAGTTATCAAGGATTATAAGGAACTTACCAACTCCATTCTGTTTGATAGATTTCAAGAAATTCTTTGTCATGGAGGCTTGTCCGATCGCTCGTGAAGACAGATAGAGGAATTTATACCTAAAATTGGTAAATTATATACGAAATTTTGGTATTAATTCCGTACCCGGTACGTATAATAACGTCACTGAAATACGAGCACACGTCACGGAGGAAAGTAGAGTGATACTTCACGGCGCCCTGGGTACTAATCTGTAATCTTCGTTCTATGTCTAACAGGTTAAGCCGCGATTCATGGGAAATTTGCACTGGCTAAATCTTTAAGAAAGATCTATGGTTGACTTTAAGAAAGATCTATGGTTGATTTTAGTATCGATTTTCAGATTTTAAAAACTGTCATACCCATTATTATGCAGCGCCGAAAAGAGCTGAGCGATATTGTTCTGTGTCCAATCCTTGCCAACCCACGGTAATATGTGCCCGAAGACATCGCTCCTCGTTATTGTTCCGTCGATATCAGATATAATAACTTTATCCGTGTGTTCCCAAAGATACACATGGCAGAAGCATTTAGTCGTTCCCTGATAAAAATCGTTTCGATTCTTCAAAAATAAAGCTTTTCGTCTAATGAAATTAACTAAAGCGTGGGAAGGTTTGTAATCGCTAGATGTAACGATAGTTTGTATTATCAGAAAACGTATATTATTCAACGCGCGCGGTTAAAAACGTACGTGAGAGACCAATTTCAGCTGAAAAACTGCTCTTTTTACATTAATACGGAAATGCGCGCTACAACTTGAGTTCTCTGAAAATGTGACCACAGAAGGACTTTCGACAAAACTGTACCATATGGAATGGTCGAAAATCGAGTGTTTTAGTAAATAACTTAGAATATTTTTTCGATTTTCTCAAGATCTGATTGATAGATTTTCTTTAAACTTTCCAGATAGTTGTATGGCTATCAGACGGATAATCTGTGCGATTTTAGGCGAGTTTCTATGGGGCAAACTTGAGATATGACTTCAAACACAAGAAAATATCTCCAAATTGGCGGTTTCTAGCGGAACACAGGTATATATTTAGAGATCTGAAGGATAAATTTTCTTTAAACTTTCCAGATAGTTGTATGGCTATCACACGGATAATCTGTGCGATTTTGGGCGAGTTTCTATGTGCCAAACTTGAGATATGACTTCAAACACAAGAAAATATCTCCAAATTGGCGGTTTCTAGCGGAACACAGGTATATATTTAGAGATCTGAATGATAGATTTTCTTTAAACTTTCCAGATAGTTGTATGGCTATCAGACGGATAATCTGTGCGATTTTGGGCGAGTTTCTATGTGCCAAACTTGAGATATGACTTCAAACACAAGAAAATATCTCCAAATTGGCGGTTTCCAGCGGAACAAAGGCATATATTTCGAGATCTGAATGATAGAACTTTTTCAAACTTTTCAGATAGTTACATGGCTATAAGACAGATAATATCTGCAAGTTTGGGCGAATTTCTATGCGCCAAACTTGAGATATGACTTCAAACACAAGAAAATATCTCAAATTGGCGCGTTGTAGCGGAATGCAGGCATATATTTCGAGATTTGAAAGACACATTTTCTTTAAACTTACCAGATAGTTGTATGGCTAGAAGACAGATAATCTTTGCGATTTTGGGCGAGTTTCCATATGCCAAACTTGAGATATGACTTCAAACACAAGAAAATATCTCAAAGTGGCGGTTTCTAGCAGAACTCAGGTATATATATTTCGAGATCTGAATGATAGAATTTATTAAAACTTTCCAGATAGTTACATGGCTATAAGAGGAAGAGAAGGAGGAGGAGGAGGAGGAAGAGGACTGAGGAAGACTGAGGAGGACTGAGGAGGAGGAGGAGGAGGAGGAGGATGAGGAGGATGAGGAGGATGAGGATGAGGAGGATGAGGAGGAGGACTGAGGAGGAGGAAGAGGACTGAGGAAGACTGAGGAGAATCAGGAGGAGGATGAGGAGGATGAGGAGGAGGAGGATGAGGAGGAGGACTGAGGAGGAGGAAGAGGACTGAGGAAGACTGAGGAGAATCAGGAGGAGGATGAGGAGGGTGAGGAGGATGAGGAGGACTGAGGAGGACTGAGGAAGAGGATGAAGATGAGGAGGAGGAAGAGGACTGAGGAGGACTGAGGAAGACTGAGGAGGAGTGAGGAGGATCAGGAGGAGGAGGAGGAGGAGGAGGATCAGGAGGATAAGAGGACTCAGGAGGACTCAGGAGGAGGTGTAGGAGGAAGAGGACTCAGGAGGAGGTGGACTCAGGAGGAGGACTCAGGAGGACTGAGGAGGAAGAGGAGAAGGACTGGGAAAGGAGGACTGAGGAGGAGGAGGACTCAGGAGGATGAGGACTCAGGAGGAGGAGGACTCGGGAGGATTCAGGAGGAGGAAGACTCAGGAGGAGAAGGAGGAGCTGGAGGAGGAGGAGATGGAGGAGGAAGACGATTCAGGAGGTGAACTCAGGAAGAGGAGGACTCAGGAGGAGGAGGAGGAGGAGGAGGACTCAGGAGGACGAGGACTCAGGAGGAGGAGGACTCAGGAGGATTCAGGAGGAAGAAGACTCAGGAGGAGGAGGAGGATGAGGACTGAGGAGGACTGAGGAGGACTGAGGAAGAGGAGAAGGAGGAAATGGAGGAGGAAGAGGATTTGAGATGTTTTCGTGTGTTTGAAGTCATATCTCAAGTTTGGCACATAGAAATTTGCCCAAAATTGCTCAGATTATCCGTCTTATAGTCATGTAACTATCTGGAAAGTTTAAAGAAATTCTATCATTCAGATCTCGAGATAATCGACTTTCGTCAAATATTGTACCAAAACCGCCACTTTGAGATGTTTTCGTGTGTTTGAAGTCATATCTCAAGTTTGGCACATAGAAATTCGCCCAAACTTGCTCAGGTTATCCGTCTTATAGCCATGTAACTATCAGGAAAGTTTTAAAAAATTCTATCATTCAGATCTCGAAATATATGCCTGCGTACCGCTAGAAACCGCCAATTTGAAATATTTACTTGTGTTTGAAGTCATATCTCAAGTTTGGCACATAGAAATTCGCTTAAACTCGCTCAGATTATCCGTCTTATAGCCATGTAACTATCTTGAAAGTTTAAAGAAATTCTATCATTCAGATCTCGAGATAATCGACTTTCGTCAAATATTGTACCAAAACCGCCATTTTGAGATGTTTTCGTGTGTTTGAAGTCATATCTCAAGTTTGGCACATAGAAATTCGCCCAAACTTGCTCAGATTATCCGTCTTATAGCCATGTAACTATCAGGAAAGTTTTAGAAAATTCTATCATTCAGATCTCGAAATATATGCCTGCGTACCGCTAGAAACCGCCAATTTGAAATATTTACTTGTGTTTGAAGTCATATCTCAAGTTTGGCACATAGAAATTCGCCCAAACTTGCTCAGATTATCCGTCTTATAGCCATGTAACTATCTGGAAAGTTTTAAAAAATTCTATCATTCAGATCTCGAAATATATGCCTGCGTACCGCTAGAAACCGCCAATTTGAAATATTTACTTGTGTTTGAAGTCATATCTCAAGTTTGGCACATAGAAATTCGCCCAAACTCGCTCAGATTATTCGTCTTATAGCCATGTAACTATCTGGAAAGTTTAAAGAAATTCTATCATTCAGATCTCGAGATAATCGACTTTCGTCAAATATTGTACCAAAACCGCCATTTTGAGATGTTTTCGTGTGTTTGAAGTCATATCTCAAGTTTGGCACATAGAAATTCGCCCAAACTTGTTCAGGTTATCCGTCTTATAGCCATGTAACTATCAGGAAAGTTTTAAAAAATTCTATCATTCAGATCTCGAAATATATGCCTGCGTACCGCTAGAAACCGCCAATTTGAAATATTTACTTGTGTTTGAAGTCATATCTCAAGTTTGGCACATAAAAATACGCCCAAACTCGCTCAGATTATCCGTCTTATAGCCATGTAACTATCAGGAAAGTTTTAAAAAATTCTATCATTCAGATCTCGAAATATATGCCTGCGTACCGCTAGAAACCGCCAATTTGAAATATTTACTTGTGTTTGAAGTCATATCTCAAGTTAGGCACATAGAAATTCGCTTAAACTCGCTCAGATTATCCGTCTTATAGCCATGTAACTATCTGGAAAGTTTAAAGAAATTCTATCATTCAGATCTCGAGATAATCGACTTTCGTCAAATATTGTACCAAAAACCGCCATTTTGAGATGTTTTCGTGTGTTTGAAGTCATATCTCAAGTTTGGCACATAGAAATTCGCCCAAACTTGCTCAGATTATCCGTCTTATAGCCATGTAACTATCTGGAAAGTTTTAAAAATTCTATCATTCAGATCTCGAAATATATGCCTGCGTACCGCTAGAAACCGCCAATTTGAAATATTTACTTGTGTTTGAAGTCATATCTCAAGTTTGGCACATAGAAATTCGCCCAAACTTGCTCAGATTATTCGTCTTATAGCCATGTAACTATCTGGAAAGTTTAAAGAAATTCTATCATTCAGATCTCGAGATAATCGACTTTCGTCAAATATTGTACCAAAACCGCCATTTTGAGATGTTTTCGTGTGTTTGAAGTCATATCTCAAGTTTGGCACATAGAAATTCGCCCAAACTTGCTCAGATTATCCGTCTTATAGCCATGTAACTATCAGGAAAGTTTTAAAAAATTCTATCATTCAGATCTCGAAATATATGCCTGCGTACCGCTAGAAACCGCCAATTTGAAATATTTACTTGTGTTTGAAGTCATATCTCAAGTTTGGCACATAGAAATTCGCCCAAACTCGCTCAGATTATCCGTCTTATAGCCATGTAACTATCTGGAAAGTTTAAAGAAATTCTATCATTCAGATCTCGAGATAATCGACTTTCGTCAAATATTGTACCATGGTACAGTTTGGTACAGAAAGTCCAACTCTGTGACCATTACCTGATAACTAGTGGTCACGCTGAAAGTCAGGACGTTAGATCCTTCGTTAAGCTCCAAACTTGCTAGCTGTTCCGATGATAACCGTACTGTTTTGATGTATTTAGGACCACCAACTTCATCTTCCATGTCCTCCGTCAGAGAATTGTAAGTCAAACTGCGAGCTCTCTCGTCGTCCGTGTCTTCCTCTATGGACGATCGAGATTCCCGAAATGCCATCGCGATTAAAACTTCATTCGGAGCTTGATTCCAGTTATAATAATCATGTCCACATTTGACAATCAAATTTTCGTCATCAAGAATGCCGGTGTGATCGTCGGCTATTTGATCGAATGTAATGACGTAATTATCGAACGACTCCCAATCATCGCCACATAATGATAACAAAATATCTGGTTCATTAGAGTACAAATCTTCAACTGTCTGATTTCGTTTGTTTCGTTTTGAAATAGTTCGAGTTTGAGTCTGCATACTGATGCCTGGTAGTTTAATGGTCACCTTCAATCAATAAGTATTTGTTAAAAAGTATGACATTTGTATTGATACATTTTATTTTGACACAGTTACACGACATTTGATTGGTAAACTGACAACATAAACACAATTAAGGCCGTTTGCACACATAAGAGGTCAACTTTAAACTTGCAGGGAAAATTGGCCAGTTTTGAGCGAACACCAAACTAAACAATTGATGACGTAGGGCGTTGTTATTTCAGATTTGCCTAATAGTGTGTGCAAACAAGCCCAGTACCTGAAGACTCAGTAGCTGAGAAGTGGGATGTTGTGTTCATGTAATATCTGGGGGCTTCAAGGGACAACGCGTCCAACCTTCTCATCTTCTCCTCTGTATTAAGATTTGTTAGAAAAAGGTTTTATTTATACAGTAGGTATTTAATTCATATTTCAGTGAAATAAGAAATTTCTTTATTTCCAAACATGCGATGTTTTTAATAGCTTGCAATATTTTTCAACACAAATATACATTTCATATTTTCGATTGAGACAAATGCAGTAACTTGCCACATCTCAGAAAAAAAGATGCTTTGCTGTTATTCACGTATATTTTTTAAGCAAATGTTTAGCTAGAAAAAGTTGAGTATTTTTGAGATAAAAGAAGAAGGTTGATAGCTTAATATAATGGATATATTTTCACATCATATTTCATTATTTTTACCGTTCTTGGACGCTTCCTCGCTATAATCGCTATAGCTTTCGTTCGCCCTGTAAAAACTATTGAGTTATATTAGAACCCTAAAGAATAATTCATTCTAATGATACTACATAAAATTGCAGGCAGTTCATTTTTATACTTGGCGAGAATATCTGCTTATATATAATAATAATGCTAATACTGTATGCATTATTTACTTAATTTGAGTCATTGACAAATCTGAACTGTTTTAACAGTTCAATAGTAAAAATACTACACCGGAATGATAAATAATTCAACATAAATTACCAAAATCTTACAGAAATAAGAGACATACCTGCTTCGTCGAGATGTTTGAACACCGAAGTAATGTGAAACTGCACCCGGATCTTCCGTGTCTATGTCATCCAGAAACATGCCCTCTTGAACATCCTGTTACATGACCAAATAAGGACATCCTGTTACATGACCAAATAAGAATACAGCTCACAGAACTATAAGATATATTATATAGTAGAATATAAAATATTAAATCTAAGTTTAAATCATTTGTTTAAATCTAGACAAAAGACAAGAATCAAATAAGTGTTCAAGATACCCACAATAGTGCCACTGAAGGTATTCTTGCGTTTCCTCCTCCCTCGTCCCATGTAATCCCACATTCCCCTCATAAACGAGGTCTCCTCCTCGTCTGCACTGGTCGCTGCGGGCATGTTCTGCTGAATAGTGGGTCACGTGTCATTATCACGTGTCATTATCACGTGTCATTATCACGTGTCATTATCACGTGTCATTATCACGTGTCATTATCACAGCACAGGTATACATGGTAGATATTATAAAGTCAGAATCATGACACAAAATTGTTTTTAGCCTGAAGGAAATACAATTTTTAAATGGAATGATGAACCAAATTTCCAGAGCAGACTGATCCATTAAAGACTGCAGTAAGTAATATTTATGTATTATGTAACTATCTGAAGACGGAATAACAATCAAAATAAGAACCAAATGGAATTTACCGATCTATTCTCGTGAGGGAGATCTCCCCAATCCCACACAATTCGGTTGTTTATATCCTTATCCATTTTCTGTTGTCTGTGTTGAGTAGCTAACAGTTCGCTGTCTGAGAGACAATCTTCAGCTCCGTACCTGTCTCGCTCCCCGTAATATTCGTCCTGAATGTTGCAGATGTTAATAAGATACATTTTCCAATTTCCACCTCCCATGGTCAGAACAACCATAAAATAACATTTTATTTACTTTTGACGACCCTCCAGGACCCACAGTAATTATATTCCTTGCTAATACTGCACATTCAAACGAATAATGTTGTTGATGATTGTGGTAGCTGATGTTTCTACCATGGCTGACTGAATGCTTTAATCTCAGTTACCTGATCAGATGAAGAATCTGAAAACTCTGTTTCATCCTCCGTAACAGTTGATTCCTGGTTGGGAAGTTAGTTTACAATGATTGAACTTAGTTCATTTATAGAATGTGTAAAACAAAGAATGTGTAAAACAAAGAATGTGTAAAACAAAGAATGTGTAAAACAAAGAATGTGTAAAACAAAGAATGTGTAAAACAAAGAATGTGTAAAACAAAGAATGTGTAAAACAAAGAATGTGTAAAACAAAGAATGTGTAAAACAAAGAAGGCATCATGTAGCCTCCAGGCTCGACAAACCCCGACAAACACCGACAAACCACGACAAACCCCGACATATCCCGACAAACGGGGTTTGTCGGGGTTTGTCGAGGGGTTTTGCCTCGGGCCCACCGGCTACATGAGGCCTTCTTGTATAGTGTTTTTCCACGTAAAGCTTGATGACTCCGTCTCGGCTTTTTGTTGGGAGACTCAAAAAAAAGAAAAAAAAAAAAAAGAAAAAAAAAGCCTCCAGGCTCGACAAACCGGAAACCCCGTCAAACCCCGTAAAACCCCGTCAAACCCTGACAAACCCCGACAAACCCCGACAGACCCTGACAAATCCCGACAAACCCCGACGTGTCAAGATATGTCGTATCATGTCGGGCCCACCGGCTACATGATGCCTCAAAGAGTGTGTAAAACAAAGAATGTGTAAAACAAATAATGTGTAAAACAAAGAATGTGTAAAACAAACCTGACGGTATCTATCTCTCTGTTGTCTCATCATCTCCATCGGACTGTCTGTTTGTATTGGAGAGGTGCTGGTATCAAGGTACTGGTATTCTGCCTGTAAAATATGATATTATTAGGCTGTCAGCTGTCTTATAGTAACCGGGTTAAATAATTGTGGAAAATTTTGTTATAAGTAACATTAAAATCCTTTAAATTTGTTTTCAAGCCAGATCCCAACAATATCCTGAAGCTGCAATAATATGTTTTGAATTAGCTTACGTCTGTTTCGTGAACAGTCTTGACAAAGAAAGCCTCTCCGTTTGCGCCAAGTTTCATCTGCAGACTAACCGGTCTTCCATTCACCGTGATATCTACCTACAAACGCAGATACTTCAAGGTGGATTATATCTAGCTTAACAAACATTTCTATAATTATTCAGTAAACATTCGTGATCATTTCTTATTTGTTTACTCCCAGTCGGAAGGAATTAATAAAAATTCCAGCTGCTTACCAGTTTCTCAGCACTCTGAAGAACGTTTAGTTTCCCAAATCTCACGTGAAAGGGAGAAGAAAGGAATGTTCCATCAGGTTGTCTAACTACGATCACATCTAGTGCACCTGGTAGAGGTATCAGTTTAAGAATTTTGCGGACTTTAGGTGTAAACATTTGCCTTAATCTACAATCAAACTTGTTCAAGAGTGAAATTAAAATTTAACTTGTTTTCAAATTCAAAACATTATTAACACGTGCTCATTGTAGATGAAGGTTACGTGTATTTTACACTATAAGGAAGCTTTAATTCCAGCAATACATTATACAACCTTGACTATATATTATGATAAATGGAAAATTGGTCGCAAATTAATTTTCGTGCAAAAAATTGTTAGAGACCTTTGCCCAATTTTTGTATCAAATAAATTTTTCAGACGTTAGGTAGTATTACTACTGTATTATCATAGTAATAATATATCATACAACTCTATTTAAATCAGAAACGGAACATAAAACAAATCATAATGATCTGATGATTCACCCAGAAAAGAATATAGAAAACGTAAATTTGATAAACTCAGGACTCTCTCTCACAATTAGTAGTCCTGAGCAAATCCGCATATTTTACCCTTTGAGATACTTTTGTGCCAATATTTACGCAGCTATGGCAAGTAAAGGCGTGTCTGTATTTTTCCATGGACCTGATTCACGAAAGATTTGTTTTTGAATGCGCCAAAAAAGACAAAGAAGGCAGAATCTTGTAATCTTAGGAAGTTAGGAGGAGCACTGAGCAGGTATCTTAGTAGCATGATTGTATGGTAACTTTGAACTACACGTTTATTGCACTCAAATAATCGATTAATCAGCTGTGTAAAAGTAGGAGTGCTTTAGAAATTCGTTTAGAATCTCATCAGAACCAACACCCTTACCATTCTTCAGCCTTTTGGCAGCTATGGGGTTGCCTAGTGGCTCAAATAATTGATCACTGTCAGGACCTGTGTAGTGTTGCTCAAAAAAATACATTTTAACTCAGCAAGATAGTAGGAGAGCATGCAAATTATTAAAATAATAAATTAACACTTATTATTACTCACCAGTGAGAGTTGCTCCGTTGATCCCGTCATAGTAACCTTTTACACTGCTGAATATGGATGTCACATAATTCATCTATCAGTTCAACAACAATCTCATCAGAACGTTCCTCCGAGTGGTAACTGCAGCTGGTAACTGCTGGTAACTGCAGCTGGTAACTGCTGGTAACTGCGGGTAACTGCTGGTATGGTAACTGCTGGTAACTGCTGGTAACTGCTGGTAACTCACTGCAGCTGGGTTTCTGTTCCGGTCTCTCCTTGTTCTAATGAAGGTTAACTTGTTAGGGGAACAGAGATACAGGGTTATAAAGTTATAAATAGATTGCAATTTATCACAATATATTGTTTCTCATGCGTTTTTAGCTGGACCACACACTTTGATATTAGAAACATTTTTGATAATTTTTGACGATTTTAACTATTTTAGTTTGGGGTTTTGATGTAAATAAGATTCAAGGATTCCAAATAAGAAACAATAGCATTTGAACAAATAATATAAGAAAAGGGTCAACCGAAAAACTGGTCCTGGTTAATCCTTAAATTATATAAAGGTTTTAAATCCTTTCACAAGTAATTTACTGGAAAAGTAATAGTGCACTAAAGAGGTGTGAGTTAAACCTCCTCAATCGAACAAATAGTTCTCAGCAGTTGTTTCTTGACTTATAATATATAAGGCCAGCTTATATCCATTTTATGAGCAGTCTAGGCATTTTTGACAATCGATTTTAAAATGTATTTCTGTTCTTGCACATATTACATTATGAATCGTTTAAGATTGAAGATGTTTCACAGAAAAATTACTTGGCTACAAAAGCTACAACATAATATATAAAGAAACTTATATTTAAATTATTGCACTCTAACTGATGCAAACTATGGTTCAACTGTCACAAAAAGTTCTTATTTCTTAGCTTTGCTAGAGCCAGCTTTCTTTTCTTCTTCAATCTTCTTAGCCTCTATTTCGAACTCAGCGATAAGCTTGTTGGTATCGTCTCCAGATAGCACCTTAATCATGGTTCTGTCACCCTGTCTGGTGAGAGTTGCAATCTGTATCTTATCTGCGCTCAGCTTGTTGATGTCCAGGGTTTTGCTGAGTACTTTGACAGCCAGATGTAAAGCCTCCTTCATGGAGTTTCCTCCCTCTTTGTACTCTTGCTTCAGTAGGGAAACAGCAGCTGCGTGGTTGTGTCCAATACATGCTGCCTTCCAGCCACCATAGTTACCACTGGGATCAGATTGGTAGAGTTGGAATCCATACCTGGTGTCCCAGCCCATGTACAGGAGGGAGACTCCAAAGGGTCTCAAGCCACCTGTTTGTGTGTACCTCTGTTTAACATCACAGACACTTCTCACAAGCTGCTCAACAGGGATACTTTCTTGGTATGTAAACTCGTAACGTTGGGCAATCAGTCGAAGATTAGAAGTAAGAACATTGGCATCACTAGTAATTCCTGCTACACTGCATGCTGCATCTGATCCCAATCTGTATATTTTCTCAGATCCGAATGATTCATCCAACAATGAGTTGATGGTATTTCTACGCTCAACAGCCAGGACAACACCATCATTAGCTAGAATTCCCAAACAAGTGGCTGCATGACCTACAGCTTCCATAGCATATTCCACCTGGTACAGTCTGCCCTCAGGGGAGAATGTGGTAGTACGGGAGTCGTAACGCCGAGCCATTTCTTCTGGAATAAGTGAATTGTTATTTTAAAGATCATGATAGATAATTTATGACATGGAGCAGAGTATTAATTACAAACAGAGCAAGTCGGTAAATTACTGGGTTGAAGATTTTAAGAATCTTATATTAATTTTAAGAATCTTAAATATCAATCAAGATCCATTTGAAGAATGAATCTTGGATAACTTGGGAAACTTATAAAAGTAGTTACAGCCATTTCAAATCAATAAAAACTACACAAATGGTTTGATAAAATAATAAATTAAATTTGAAGGAATCATTCTAATACAGATTCAGAAAGTCAGAATGTGCCATAATTATGTGCATATGGTCAAAAATACTTTCAAAATTCATCACTTTAAACCACAAACTTCTTGTAAAAACCCAATATGCGTTTAGAGTAAATTTTCAGCAACTCCCTTTAATTAGACAACTGAGAACAGATAAGCAAAACGATGTTATCACGGATCACCGAGTAGTAATCGGGTATATCGTTGGTGTCCTGTATAATCTTCTAATAAAATCAATGCTATACCAGATACAAACTAATCACTACTGCAATCTGAGTCATTCGATTCATTGTCTGACTGACTGGATTCAACATCTCCGTCTATGCTCCCATCACTCTCCTCTTCCTCCTCTTCATCAGTTTTTTTCCAGTCTTTCACTTTATTGTTCATCATAAAGTCATCTTTCAAAACATTCCATTTTTTGTCCTCTTCTGATTTTTCGACAGGATTATTTTTGGGACGCACAAGATCAAGAAAAGATCCAGTTGTAACACTTTGGTGAATCTTGTCTCTTGCAGCTTCTGTTTTGACCTTTTTTAACTTGCTGTCAACATCTTTTTGATGTTGTTTGACGGCATTGAATAGTTGTATTATTCCTTTAGTTGCTACTTTGCTTAGTTTTCGCTCATTAATGACATCAGTGGATGAACTATCAAGTCTTCCCATCTCAAGAATGTCCCTCTTGGCTTTCTTTTTTTCAATCAGCTCCTTTCTGGACTTCTGTTCAACTTTCTTTCTTTTGCGGACAACAAAATCTCCATCTAAAATTTGCTTGTTCTTCTGCCCATGCTTTTGAACAAGTTTAGAGACTAAGTCTCCCATAGCAGCTAACGATTCATGTGATGCAATCGTTGCCATCGTATTTACGAAAACCCTGATAATTGAGGAAGTTAATGAAAACAATAAACTCAATTATTAATAAATCTAATGGGACTGAGCTGTAGGACAGTGAGTACCTAGCAATTCTGGCTGGAGAGGGGAGCCATAATTTCAAGTTTGTTAGTTACCATAGAGGTGACATGAAGGGTATCTACATCAGTCTGATGCACAATTACAGAATAATTATAGATAATTACAGTTTGAAAGTAAAGTTGTGTCTAGCTGAATCTTACTAAATGTGTCTAACATAACAAAAACAGAGCAGAAAACAAAACAAAAAAGAAAGAAATCAAAAAAGGGGGACCCCAACCCATGTAGCTTAGACACCTCACAGCAAGTAGACCAAAGTGGCTCTTGCTTGTGAACGGTGCATCAACTACCCACCGAAGCAGTGGGTTGGGAGTCCCCCCTGGAATCATTTCGTCCGTGAAATTATATACAATATAAAAATTCGCAGGATCACACATGTGTGGAGGACCTGGAGGAACTTAAAGAAGACCTAATGAAAAGTGGACACAAGGAGGGGACCTTAACGGAAACAGAGCCTGAAGCAGTCTTGAGGTCAATAGAACACGATTTGTATGAGAGGGAAGATAAGAAGCCAATCACTGACAAAGTTGTCTTTTCAGTGAAATTTTTCAAAGAGGTCACTGAACTTAGGAAGTTGGTACACACTACTAGTGAGGACATCAAACAATTATGCGGAGACGTACAGATATTGTTTGCACTACGTAAACAGCCATCTATAGGCAACACAGTAGTGCGCAATAGAAAACTCAGTTCGTGCTCCGAAACGGATTCTTTCACCGTCAGCCAAAACTGTGGCGGGAGAGGCTGTGCAACCTGTCCCCAACTGTTCAACTCCAACGAAGTTATCACTGTCAATGGTTTGGATTTAACTCTGGATTTCCGGTTGACATGTAAGGACAGCAATATAATTTATGTCGCCCAATGCCAAATTTGTAATAAACTTCCCCAGAGCCTAAAAGACGACACCTATTTCGGCCGAACGGTTTCTCCATTTCATATCAGAATGAATGGACACAGAAACAAGTTTAAAATTGATAATGAATTGTCATTTGAGAAGTCGGCACTTTCCATGCATTGTTTTCTAGCGCATAAATCTGATTTCACTATGGGAGTTTTTAAATTAGGTGTAGTAAGAAAAGTCCGACCAACAGCACTTGATAGAGAAGAGAGCATTCTTATTTCAAAATTTAGAACTAATATTTTTGGGTTAAATAGGATTGTAGTTACTCGCTGAATAATCTGTTATGCTCTGTTGTCCATTCTACCTAGCACATTGAGCTCTTTAGTAAAGTTTCAGATTAAAATCTGTTTGAATTTTCAAGTTGTTAACTTTTAAATTGCTTTCATTAGTCTAACCTAATTTTATTTTTATAGGCTAGTGATGTAAATATACGAAGAATTCACCTATATTTGTGCTGTCTTACTATGTGTCCAAACCAAATTGATTTGATACAATATAAATAGTACAGTAAAATATCTACAAAATTTAGCAAAAAAGATCCATAACTTAATTTCTTACTGGTTATTGTGCACTGAACTGTTAACTTTAAATGGATCACTATGCAATGAAACACACCAGTTGTTACAAGTAATTATCAAACCCCACAGACAACATGTTTGTGGTACATTCTGAAATAGAACACAATTAGTATATATTATATCGACTATCATAAATATATAAACCAAATATATAGCAATTCACAATCTCCCGTTCTTTCTTAAAAAGGCTTTGAAAGATTTAAAATATTAAATATAAAATAAAGGTGTCACAAGAAAGACTATAATCTTTCTAAATATAACTTCCCTCTTTGTGGATACATGCACAACATGTAATAGAAAATCGTTTTAAACGAGCACATTATATAAATCACAAATACCAATATATTCACTCTTTTAAACGAGCACATTATATAAATCACAAATACCAATATATTCACTCTTTTAACTTCTTTAAGTTTCAAATTATTAAGATTATTAAAATCCTTCACACACAATATTAAAAACTTTTAATACAATGTTTATTATTGGAATACAATTCTAAACAGTTCATTGTCAAATTCTCCTGACGACAATACCTCCCGTAGCAGTGAAGTTGGAGCTCCAGCTTTAGTCAAACAATCTGCAAGCTGTTTCTTTGTTGAAATCCAACGAACTGTCATTTCACTATTGTTCACTCGCTGTCTCAGGCAAGCTATTGGTATCCTCAATCCCTTGTCATCAACATTTTTCGAGGTTTGGATAGCATCATGTAGAGACTTGCAATCAGTCATTACAATGACATCAAGTTTTCCAGATAACATGATCTCACTCAGCTGAGCTTGGATCAACTCACATGTTTCCACTGCTTCGATCATTGCCCAACTCTCCGCTGCTAAAGTACTTTTACATACTCTCCGGATTTTTCTACTCTGCCATGTAATGGGGCAAGATTTTCCTGTAAGCGAAACAAGGAAAATTATGAAGCCTCCCTGAGAGCTACCATCCTTCAAGTTTCCATACGATGCATCACAGAAAACCACTAAGACTGACTCAGGCAACAGTAGTTTCTTAAACCTGAGTGTTAGAGGATTCTTTTCTAAGAACTTTACTGTTTTGTTTACCATTTTCAAATCTGCGATGGTCCCTTCAGTCACAGAATTACTAGCAAAACATGTAGCATAAGCTACATCTGGCCGTGTCTGTGTTGATACCCACAACAACTGTCCGCACACAGTTCTCAGTTGTTGCTTTTCTTTCTCGTTGATTGGGAGCGTATTTCGATTCACTCGGGTGGGGTCGATCTCTATTCTTGAAATCTGGTCTGCATACCCCAGTTGTGATACCAGAATTCCAGATTGTGTTTGCTTTACATCAAGACCAGTATAAGCAAATTCAACTTCGACCTCCGTACTTAGACGAAACTTCTTCTTCAGTTCCCCAATAACTTCCCTTTCAAACTTCTTGCTTCCACTGAACATCAGATCGTCAACATGCACAGCAATGATACCCTCGAGTTTTCCTTCATCATACCAGAACATGAATGACTCATCAAATGACGATACCACAACATTTAACTTCACTAGAGTATCACGAAGCTCAACATACCACATTCTAGGTCCGTCTACTAACCCGTAAATACATTTGTTCAGTTTCCAGATTTTCCTCGTTTCAGCTTCCTTCGGAGGAATAATGAAGACATCTCTTGAAATCTTCTTGCCTTGCAAGAAGGCAGCCTGAACATCGATGTGTTGTAACTTCCAACTTTCTGTTGCAACTATTGTAAGGAGCAGTCTTATAGAGTCCCTGTTACATGTTGGGGAGTCCTTTCGTATGTTGCTACTATTTTCTTGATAACCAAGTGCCACTAAACGAGCTTTAACAGAACCTTCTGCTTTCTTTGTAATTACCCAACGAACACCAACATTGGACTGTTCGTTTGCATCAACTTCCACGTAAACCTTGTTTACTTTGAACTTCTCAAGCTCTGCTAGCTTGGCATCTACAACTGCTTGGTCATACATACTCACACTGGACAGCAACACCTCTTCTTCTGTTTCTGGTGACAAGTCATCTCTCCAATTCACAGCAAGCTCATACCAATCCACACATTGGATGCTCTCCTCACCATCAAGTTGAATATTTACACAGTTTTTGTAACTGCCAGTTGATTTCCCCGCACGGCTATGGATATAAGCTTTATGCCAGATCTCACCATCCTCCTCTGGATACTTTGGAAGAAACTCCACGTGACTTCTTGCTTTAGGAAGTCCTGATTTGTGCTGAGGTCTGATTGTTGCTGTTGTCTCACTTTGAGGCAGTGTTTCTGTTTCCGGTACAGAAACTGCTGTTTCCATAGAGCAAGATGGTTGATCCTCTAGGAAATTTCTCTGCGTCTCTAATGGGGATTTTGGTGAACTTGATACAATACTCGGGTTAGGTTGCCCAACAACTGACTCTGAGGTAATGGGATATCCTGTTGTTGTATCCCTGGTTAGATGACATGCACTGCACTTATAATACTGATTTCCATGCTTTAAAATATATAAATGAGTAATGTCTCTCCCCAGTATAACACCTGGCCCACTCCATTTTGCAGATCCTTTTCTCTTGTACATCACCTTTTCACCGTTGCTATAATACTCATCATTGCTTGTCCGAACTTGGCTTTGCAGAGCTCTACGTATCTTGTTGCTACTTTCACACTTTGCAAATGCTTGCCTTGCACTGTGCATTGCATTAACATTATCAGCCACGGTTTTACTCACCGTTGTTTCTTCTAAAGCTGGCAGTCTATCATCGATGACATTCGGAAGTGAAGGGTTACGGCCCATTGTCAACTGATTTGCAGAAAACCCACCAAACATCTGCATGGAGTTTTTCGCACTTAGTGCCCAACACAATGCAACTTCCCAGTTGCATTTTGAATCTTCCTTCGTTTTTACCATCATCTCTGTCAGCATCTTATGATGACGTTCTACAATCCCATTGCTCCAAGGGCTCTCGGCAGCTGAATTTTGCACATCCACATTGAATCTTTGACACATCTCATTAAACTCCTCATTGGCGAACTCTCCACCATTATCAGCCATGAATTTCTTTGGATTTCCAAAGATGGATATCCATCCAGAGCAAATTCCTTGGATGATTGTCTCTTTCTTCTTATTGTAGATTATTCTAGCTGCTGAATATCTTGTCACCGAATCAATCATATGCAAGATATACACATTAGGAGTGCCAGGAACATTCTTAAGGTCCATTGCAACACATTCGTTGAACACCTTTCCTCTTGGGAGACCCACCACTGGTCTTGACTTGGGTTTCTTGTACATCAGACATATTTTACAACTGCTGGATACCTCATCAATTGCTTTCGTGTATTCTGGTCTCTTAAATCCTGCAGTTTTCAGCAATGTTTTCAGTTTATCACTAGGAGGGTGTGAGAATTGTTTGTGGATTTTTTCCACTTTCCTCCTAATCTCCTTTTCGTCAGTACCAAACAAACCTTCTTCGCTGATTGTCATCACCAGATGTGGGGTCTTTCGATCTGGCGGCCCAATGGTCATGC